ATGGCTGTACGACACACTCGCCGACGATCTATGGAAACAATGGATAGACACGGAGTCGGCGAAGAAGGCCTTCAAAAAGGGCGGATATTTTTCAAAGAAATTTAGCGATACATTGAAAGTGGTTGTACTGAACAACAATATCTGTCAGAATGAAAACTATTACATCGCTTACGATCCCATCGATCCGGACGGACAGCTCCAGTGGCTCATCGATGAGCTCAATAGTGCCGAAACTGATGGCTCGTATGTTATGATATTAGGTATTAAATATTTATTGCATAAAATTCTTTATATTAATTAAAATATTATATGAAATGTAAGGACACGTCCCTCCGGGCGACTGCTATATCGCGTGGAGTAATAACTACTTCCGGATTATGGAAAGGTATCAACACTTGATTGTGAGCTCATATTTCGGTCACACACACAATGACGAGATCGTTGTCTTGTATAACAAAAACCATGAAACCAATGGCACGTATGCCGTCTCTCACGGCTATATCGGCGCTAGTCTTACCACATATAACCTCCTGAATCCTGGTTACAGAATATTCACATTAGATAGTAATGTATGTTATTTTTCAATTTGTAAAATAACTTTCAATTAATGATTATTTTATTTTGGTATTCATTTATTATTAAAGGGAAAACCTTTAGATTGGGATATATTTTATACTAATATAACTGACGATAACATTAAAGGCAAAGGAGTGTTACCGAAATGGCAATCAGACACGTCTGCCAAACAGATCTATGGTATGGACTCTCTGTCCACCGAATCGTGGGATCAGTTTATGACGAGAGCCGAAAAGGATGACCGACTCGTCGAGCTCTATATCAATCATTACCACCGATTCAGTGATGACTACATCCATGAAAAGACCAAATCAGGCGAATATAACATCAAGAATAAAAGAGACACTTTGCTTAACAAACGGACTCTAAATCCTATTTATTCTTTATTACCGAATAATAATAAATAGTAATACAATATTTTTATTGAAACTTAACCATATTTTTATTACTTAACTCAAACTTAAACTTAATAAAGACATTTAAGAAATTTCAATTTTCAAAACTTATTTAAGATATTTGAAACTTTAAAACGATAGACAATATGACAAAGGTAAAAAAACTTTTGCAATGCAAAACATCAAAAATTTGTACTTTATATCATTTTATATATAACTTTTCTAAATAAAATCTCGGACGAATCTTAAACGTAATTTATTCATTAAATTTAACCGTTATTTGTCCAATGTGTAGAATTTAACCAAAGTGTAGAAATGAACCCGGACAAAACTTATAATCTTTATCATTCGTACCTTTTTAATAGACCTTTAGTTAAAGTTCAAAATGGAATTATGTAACGATTATTTAAAAGTTACATCACTATAGATATCAAATTTAACCTTTATTGAAATTTCCTAATAATAGCTAGTTTTCATAAAAATTAATTTTTAAAATGCTCATTATTTACGCAAAGTTCTCTATATCATCTGTTAAGTTATGTGTTTGCACTGTATAACCTATGATTGAACTTAAAGTACCATGTTCAAACTTGATAACTTTATTTGTACTACAAATATTATTTCAATAATACTTTAATTGTTTCCCTATATAATTGTTATATTCAATCCATGCACATAAATGAACTGTAAATTTTTATCAGGCACAAATCAGTTAAAATGTCAAAATTTGTAAACAAATTAGTTCAACAAGTTCTTAACCTTGTAATTAATATAACGAGAATTATTATCATAGGCTTAAGAATGGGATAATAAGAACTGTATTCCACTTAAAATATTAGGTAAACATTTATATTCTTAGACATAAAACATATTATTCTAATATTAGAAAGTTTAAAAATTACAAAATAGTCTATTATAAAATTAAAATTACATGTTATACAACGTCCGATATCTTATATCTATATTATCAGGCTATAGGTTCTACACAGAAATTAGTTATAGAATTAATAGTGCAATATAATAGAGTCATAGCATTAATCTCATGCAAATGCATTTATACGAACTGATTGTTATCTAAAAAAGATACCTAAAAAGGTGTTCAATTCCTATGCATACGCCGTCCGTACAACACAATTGCAATGCAGTGAACGCATTAAAACAATGCAATGCACTGATATATTGTGTGTATTGAATGCAGAGTTTAAATGGGTTTAAATGGGTTCACTGTATAACATTGGCTTTAATATGATAATGTTACCTGTAAAGTACCTCGCGTACCATGATCATTTAAATTAGAATGTTGCAAGAATGATTTGACAATATTTGGTACATAAATCATATAAATACATAAATCTCAACACCAATGAATATTCACAAAACAAACCATGGACATATTATTGAAGATATATTTAATGTTCACAATTTTATTTGCATCGAGTATAAGATGTGAAGAATTTAATAAAGATTTGGATCAATTGAGAACAGAATTGCATCAATTTGTGGCCGAAGAAGACAGACATTTGTTTGTTAACTATGATATTTTGGAAACCATTCAGGTATTGTAAATGTTAAAATTAATGATCATGGTTATTTGAAATATTAATCAATTATATTTTTCAGTTATTGAATAATTTGCGAAATGACATTTACTACCAAAAGCATGATAACCAGACATGTCATGACTGTGTCACAGCTCTGACCACAGCTAAACTGATCCTAAAAACACCTGAAGTGATCAAATCGGCCGCAAAGACCATATGCTCGACACCGGGTGTGAAGGAAACAGAGCGCGTATGTGTCGGCACGTTAACCATTATGTCTGATCCGGTTGTATATATACTTCAAAATTCAACGATAACTATCCCAGAGATGTGTAGCGTTTTATTAGACCCTCAATGTATGCAACACTTGGGATTATCGGTCACACCAGCCGTATGTATATCTAAATATTTTACACAAATGAATACCAAACGTATTTATTATGAAATGTAAATTTATATTGTTTTCATTAATATTTAGGTGAATTGGGTCTTACCGTTGCCTAAACCCAAACCATTTAACCCGAGACCCGACTCCGGGAAACAAATGAAAATGTTGCACATGACTGATATTCATCTGGACCTGTATTACACTCCCGGTTCTAACGCCCTGTGCGATGAGCCCATGTGTTGTCGGTCCACATCTCACGGACACAACAATTCGGCCGGTTATTGGTCTGAGATGTCGGGCGTTTGCGATACTCCCCTATCCTTTACCGAAGAGGCCGTCAAACATATCGGAAACAATCACAAAGACCTGGATTTTGTGATTTGGACGGGAGATAGTGTACCACACGATGAATGGAACAGTTCTAAAACGGGAAATCTCCTTCATATCAACACAACAACCAATTTGGTTAAGAAATACTTTGATGGAAAAAGTGTTTTCCCAATTATTGGTAATCACGAGCCCTGCCCTTTTAATATGTAAGTAAATAATTTAATATGTAAATAATTACCCCGTTGTAAATTATCTAATTATTAAGGTATGTGCCAAATGAGGTGTCCATCAAATCAAATGGTCAAATGTCGTTGAGCTGGTTATACAACACTCTGGCCGACGACTATTGGTCGCAATGGATAAACACTGCGTCCGCTAAGAAAGCATTTAAAACAGGCGGCTATTACTCTATACAACTCAACGATCGGTTGAAGATTGTTGTCCTAAACAACAACATCTGCGGCGGACGTAACTATTGGGTCGCTTATAATCCGGTCGATCCGGACGGACAGCTCAAGTGGTTTATTGACGAATTGGACAGCGCAGAGACTCAGGGAATACACGTTTTGATATTAAGTATGTTTCAAATATTGTCTTATTTGTAAGAAAACTATTAACTAATTGTTTTGTTTATCGGTAGCTCATCAGCCAATGTCTGCATGTTATCAGTCGTGGGGAAACAATTATATGAGAATTGTTGAGAGGTTTGCGAATGTAATAGTGAGCACATATTATGGTCACACACATTACGATGAGATACAAGTGCTTTACAACAAAAATCCCACCACTAATGAGACGTATCCCATATCACACGGTTATGTCGGCTCCAGTCTCACCACTTTCAGTCGTCTGAATCCCGGTTATAAGATATTCACATTGGATAGCAATGTATGTCAATATTTAGAGCAAATTTAAATTATTCTTTATTAAATTTATTGCAATTAAAACATAGGGTAAAGCATTGGATTACGACTTATACTACACTAATATGACGGCCGATAACATCGCCGGCAAAGATGTGATTCCCAAATGGACTTCAGAAAAGGCACTGAAAAAGGTCTATGGCTTGGATTCATTGACAACCGACTCGTGGGACCAGTTCTTGACAAAAGCCAAAACAAAGGACAAACTCGTGAACTTATATTTTAATCATTTTCATAGATATAGCGAATCGTTTATAAATCAACTCAAAACCATTGGCACATATAATATGCAAGGATTGCGACAATGTTTAAGAAAAAGGAGTCGTATAATGAATCCTCTCTATAAAGAGTCGCCCCTAACCTGTCGTCTATATTAACAATACACGATTAACATTGAATTAAAACATATGAATTTTTCGAAATTAAAACATGATATCTATACAAAATGCATAATTTCTATGAGAAGTAGAACATTTTAAAACTCAAAAACTAGATGTCCAATTTTAACAATCTATATATTAAAATGTTCATAATGAAAAATTAGTCTATACGTATATTTGGATTTTTCTGATTACTAAGAAAACTTTGAGTCATAGAACCTTTTACTTTTCATAAAAACAATACAATTTGTATACATATCATATTGTGTTAAAGCATTATTGGCAATAATGCAATTAAATTATTTTTACGGTAGACACAATTTACCATGGATGGTTACAAATAAATTAAAAACAGTTTACAAACTGTAAATCTAAAATTGTCATTTATATAATGTTTTGATATGTAAACACACTATTAACTTTATTGGCAACATTGGCACAACACAATTATAATTTTATAAATGTTTCAATTTTTGCTTACAGGAACCTTTTTATTATACATACAGGTAAAAACTTTTTTATTTTATACTAACAATTTGTAACAATTACTATAATTTGTCGTAATTGTGATAAAGTATATCTGTATTTTAGATAATAACTTTTTTAACTAATTTCTAAAACAATTATTGATTATTTCATTGATATTTTAAAATGTTAAATTATGTAATGTTATTTTATTTATTTTTGTAATTATTTTATTTTTAAAAATTATCAGTTTATATTTGTGCTAATTATAGTGATTATTCTCATTATAATTTACATTTATTGTTTACTAAAAAATATTTTAATACTTTTATAAATTAAAGTTTAATTAGCAATTTTAATATTTGACATTTATTAAATTAGAATTAAAAACTATCAATATAACTAACAGGATAACTTCGAACATGATATTATTTGTGTAAATGTGATGTTTATTTTGAAGAGTTTTGTTAGCCTCAAATCTTTTTGTTAGATAAATAGTTCAATAATTATAATTAATCCTTATTTAAAACTGCTTATAATAATATTAATTATACCATAACTCATTTTTATAGAGAAATTATTTGCAATTAATATCAATTTCTATCAATCGATGGATACAAGCGTCACAACAATAATCCCAATAATAATATTTGACACTTTAATCCATGTGCAAACTTCGCTGTATATTACACAGCGTTTATGAAATAGATTTTAGTTCTTTATAAATTAAAAGTACATTTAATAATAATTTGTGTCATTTATATCCAATTATTGTCAATGAGCACCGAACAGGCATTTTATGGCCACTTTATAATGCAAACTCTATGATACCACAAAACTTTTAATGTCCGTTGAGAACACATGTTTATACATTATTTAAAGGCAGATCAAATTAAATATTATACTTTATTGAAATATTTATAAACAATTTTAGTTAATATTTACAAATTTACTGATAAGAATTCTACTCATAATCATCATTGTAGATAAATTAATGGCTTTACTTATCGGTAAATTTCTGCTTAAACAACATTAGGAAATATTATTATACTTTAGTATTTATGTTATGATTTTTATATTCGTTAAACACTATCCAATTGCTATTCATAACGCAAACAATGCATTTCTTATGGCAGTTGTATTTTATTTTCACTCTTTTATTCATATCGAGTATAAGATGTGAAGAAAATGCTATAAATTTGGATCAATTGAGAGCAGAATTGTATCGATTTGTTGCGGAAGAAGACAGATATGTATTAGATGAACATGATGTATTGGAAGCCATTCAGGTATTACAATGTTTAAAATACATTTATGATTTAAATACAGTATATTTTTATATAATTACATATGAATTACGAATTACAGTTACTGAATAACTTGCGGTCAAATATAGATCATGGAAATCACACTAAGCAAGCATGTTATGACTGTGTCTCAGCTCTAACCACTGCCAAACTGGTCCTCAAAACACCGGATGTGTTGAAATCGGCCGCAAAAACCATATGTAAGACACCGGGTGTTGTCGAACCAAACCGCGTATGTGTCGGCACATTAAACATTATGTCCGATCCGGTCGTATATATACTTCAAAATTCAACCATAACTATCCCAGAGATGTGCGGCGTTTTATTAGACCCCCAATGTATGCAACACTTGGGATTAAATGTCACTCAAGCCGTATGTTATGTTAAATTACTTTTTATATTTATTATTTTTAATTGTTTAACAAATTGTTGACGGATTTGAATTTAACCTATAATTGTTTAAATCGATATTTAGGTGAATTGGGTTTTACCGTTGCCTAAACCCAAACCATTTAACCCGAGACCTGACTCCGGGAAACAAATGAAAATGTTGCACATGACTGACATTCATCTGGACCTGTATTACACTCCCGGGTCTAACGCCCTGTGCGATGAGCCCATGTGTTGTCGATCCACATCTCACGGACACAACTATTCGGCCGGTTATTGGTCTGAGACGGCGTCCGTTTGCGATACTCCCCTATCTTTTACCGAAGAGGCCGTCAAACATATCGGAAACAATCACAAAGACTTGGATTTTGTGATTTGGACGGGAGATAGTGTACCACACGATGGTTGGAACTGCTCTGTAGAGGAGAATCTCGAACATATCTATACCACAACCAATTTAGTTAAGAAATACATTAATGGGAAAAGTGTTTTCCCAATCATTGGTAACCACGAGCCCTACCCTTTCAATATGTAAGTAAGCATTTGGTAATCGTTTAATATATTATCATTGTCTTTATCATCATCAAATGTTAAGGTATGTGCCAAATGAGGTGTCCATCAAATCAAAGGGTCAAATGTCTTTGGGCTGGTTATACGATACACTCGCTGACAAATATTGGTCTCAATGGATAAACACTGTGTCCGCGAAAACTGCATTTAAAACGGGCGGCTATTACTCCACACAACTCAACGATCGGCTGAAGATTGTGGTCCTAAACAACAACATCTGCAGCGGACGTAACTATTGGATCGCTTATAATCCGGTCGATCCGGACGGACAGCTCAAGTGGTTTATTAACGAGTTGGACAGCGCAGAGACTCAGGGAATATATGTCATGGTTTTAGGTAAAGAATTTATTGACAAATTATCTTATATTATTAAAACATTTACTAATTGGCATAATTGGCAGCTCACCAACCATTACATGAATGTTATTTTTCGTGGGGACACAACTATATGAGAATAATGGAAAGGTATGCGAAGGTAATAGTGAGCACATATTATGGTCACACACATTACGATGAGATACAAGTGCTTTACACCAAGAATCCCACCACTAATGAGACGTATCCCATATCACACGGTTATGTCGGCTCCAGTCTCTGTGCGTTCAATCATCTGAATCCCGGATATAAGATATTTAC